ATATTTTCCTTTTGAATCCTCAAGCAATAACGAAAGTCTATTTTGACAGATTAAAAACTACTTGCAAATTGCAGAGGTAGCAGTGCCTTGCGATAATCCAGTAAAAACAAGGAGTGCTGTGAGCATCTCTGCCCAGGGTCGGGTATCTCTGAGCACAGGAGATGCTGCTGAAATCACAAAGCCCAGATTCCCTTGGCCTGCCTCTGACGTGGGCTGAAATGTTTACCAGGGCTTGGCTAGAGGGCTGGAAAAAGAAATAAAGAAACCCCAAAACAATGTAGATAATGTTTCTAGAGAAAATATTTGGGGTGGGTCATGAAGCAGATTAATTAGTGTGATAGTAAAAACCCCTGAATTTCAGAGCAGTTTGCTCTGTCCTTACCTGTCGTGGCTCAAACTCAGGTTTGAAAAGAGTTTCTGATTTATTTCTTCTTTTCTGAAAAAGTCCTCAGGAGCCTGAGAATTCTTGCGGTGGTGGGTGTGTCTGGCACGGCAGCGTTAGGGGGTGCAGGATTAGGGCTGGAGGCACTCTACTGGCAGAAGGATGCAGCCTCCTGGCTTTCATGAGTGGTGGTTGAGGGGGGAAAACCCAGCCAGAACAACCTGCCGTGGAATTGCTTCCTTCCCTCCACTTGAGAGGAGAGGAGGATGCCCCGCCGAGCACGGCCATGTGGAGCACGGCCACGCGTGCTGGCGGCTTTGCAGCTGAATCCCTGTCTCCAGACTTTTCTCACTTCCAGCTTGAACACAGAGCAGGGAAGGAAAAAACTTTTGAGACTTCCAGCTCTCCACAGGGCCAAGGTGTCCAGGAACCACACTGGTTATAGAAAGCAGATGGCCTTTTGCTGTAAATGCAAGACTTAGCATAGAAAATCTGGGCAAATCAGTTCAGTAGATAATTGATTTGTGTGAGTGAGATCGAGATTTTTGTATATGGAGATCAGGCAGACTGTGGGACAGAGCCAGCACCAATGTAGGCTAATTCTCAGGTATGGATACCTGCATAAATATGTGCATGTGCATAAATACCAACACATGCAAATAGGCAAGCACAAACCAATATAAATCCCCAAATCTGCTTTGGTTAATTAGATGCAATTAATATTTTTTTCTAGTATCAAAGCTTCGCTTTACTTTCAGCAAAAGTATAAGTAGAACAAGACATACAGCTTTTTGCCAGAACACCTGTATTTCTGTGCAGAACAGGCACCGTGGGCTGTGTCCTCATGGGATGGGGAGGGGGATGAGCTTTATCCAATTTGTCGATTTCATTATTGCTGATTAAATTCTGATTTCTCAAATGGCAGCTGCGTGCTTTGAGACTGTGCTTCCTTTTCCCTTTCTTATGATGCGCAGAGTTTTTCTTGATCATTGTTGGGATGGGGGGAGTTTGTACGTGCCTTGTAAAATCTCAGATGGAAAAGGGGACCCCCCAAGTTGAAAGGGTGATTTTGGTTTTGTTCCCTTCCCCCTCCCTTATCACATGGTTTCTCAAGTGATGTTACTGGGAAATATCCTTAATGAACATCAATTTGTGGCAGAGCAGACTTTGGACCAACTTTGGACTGGGACAGGGCAAGGTGCCAGAAATGCTCGGAACTCTTTGGAGAGGTCAGCCTGGAGAGGTTGAGTCTCCTTCCCATGTGCCAGGGGGAGAGAGAGGGCAAGCAGAGCCTTGGTATCAGGTCTGCACTCTTTCCTAGAGTGAAAACACCTTCAGAAAAACAGGCTTTATTCCTGTGGCTATGAGGGACCAGGCTAGCAGAGGAGTTGGGGTGTTGCCTCTCTGGAGCTCCTCAAGCAAGTTCTCTCCTTGGCTGACTTTTTCTGCTCTTTTCTCTCCCAAAACGGGGAGGAGGAGGAAGAGGAAGCAAGCCTGCTGACTCGGGGAAACAGAACTAAAAAAAAAAAGAAGGTCTGACAAGTGGCAGAGGGCTGGGACTGCCACTCTGTGACTGCCGTCAGTCCCACGTGCCCGCTCGGTGAGAGCTGTGCCCCGGCAGCTGCCCGTTCGCCTTGCTGGGGTCCCCGTGGGGCTGGGCAAAAACACCTCCCAGACAGTAGCTCCTCCAGCACGGCTGCTCCCCGGAGAGCTAAATATAAACACAGCCAAGAGGAGAGGGAATTTTCCACCGTGCTGCTCGTCTGTACCTACCGGGTCATGAATCCCGGGGAAGCCCCTGGGTCTGCTCCTTGTCCCCTGCCAAGCCAGCAGGGTATGGGGTGAGTGCCACTGCTCTCTGTAGGGATGGGACCTTCCATAAATTCCTTGAAAGCAGTCAGGGCACTGGCAGACCTGAGCCCTGGCACTCTGGTTCTGCACACAAGCCTCCCTGCCAGAAGTGGCCGTGTTTTAACTCTGGAAAAGGACTTCTCCAAGGTCACACTCCTGCGCCCACAGTTGCAGCCTGGCTGCCCATGACCCAGCTATTTCTGCAGAGCAGCAATGCAGAACGTGGCTCTGGGACAGTGAACCAGAGAGCAGGTCCGTGGGCTGTTTTGTTTTTCCAAGCTTTTCTGAGTTGTCTCTCCATAGAGAGACAAAAATTCCCTAGCAAGAACCTGTTTCTAAAACCTCACCAGGGTGGTGAGTCTTTGGTCATCAACAGGTGAAGTAGAGATTAAAAATTAAGAAGCATCATCATGCAGTTAAAGATTCAAAATTAAGAAGCATCATCATGCAGTTAATTTACAACCAGAATTTCTCCTGGCTTCAGGAGGTTGATCCACGAGTTTTGAGGCCTATCATATTTGATACGATGGGTGTGTGAGGTGCCACATCTTATGCATCTGACCTATGCTATGCAAGAGAAATAAGATTTGATATGTTAGAAGTTTCTTTGAAATGCACAGAGGAGTAAACTGCATTACACTGACCTGGAGGAGCACCAAACCCCGTGTGGAGCATGGCTGATCCCAGCACTGCAGGCTGTGGGTCCCTGCATGGATGGGTGGGAGGTACCAGGTGAATTTAGCTCTGTAATCACTTCATTTGAGTAATATTTTAAGAACTGGTTGAGTGAGTGCAAAAACTCTGTTCTGGTGCGTTGCGTTTCTGTACCTCCCCCCTAAAAGTGTACCCGAGGGAGACCTGGTCATGGTTTTTGCTTTTAGAGGATTAAATATAGCAGCAGCGTTGGTGTCACTCCTCTGTAGTCCATTTGAAGCATCCCTTGGGCTACATCATTCCCTACACTTGTGGCTCCTGGCCATAGGTTTTGCTTTCAGCAGCCAGAGCTCAGGGCTTGCGCTGTGCGGTAGGTTTGGGACCGTGGTGAAAGCAGAGTTTTACTTTGTGGCTGTTTTGTGCTCGTGTATCCTTACGTCTCCCAGGGTTAGTAAAAAAATGGGATCTGGCAAGCTTTGATCCGGCAGCTGGAAAACCTGCTCTCCCTCTCTCTGCTCAAAAAGCAGCCCTCGAAAGGAAGGACCAGAAACCCTCTGGGTGGCAGAGGAGAAGCGGGGCTTGGGGACGTGGTGGCACAGAGGATGTGGCTGTCAAGGTGCATCAGCAGCTTGCTTTGGTCTCAGTGCCTGGTCTGGACTGGGGGAGCTGAGAGACACCCCTCTCCCTGCTCCTAAATCCCAGGGGATGAGTTAAAGCTTGTTATGCCCTTACTTGTATTTAAGAGTTTTCTTTTCTAGTGTTTTTCCTTTCCTTCTCATTTCTCCTTCTTGCTCCTCTGCCTCAGTTGCCCCAGTTGTACAAGTGCTGCCGTCACTATTCTGCACCACTGGGAAATGTTAGGGAAGGAAAATGGCATTAATGCAGACAAAGGGTCTTGCCTGGTCAGGACAGCCTGACAGCACAGTTAGGCCAGGTGGGGGTGGCCATTTCTCATTTCAAGTGATATGGGAAAGTCACAGTAACTGTGAGTTTTGTATTTCTGGGCTTGCCTTAACCTTACTGAAAACCTTCAGCCTCCTGGCCTGCTGACAAATAGTTGTCAATGTTATAAACTATATTTATAAATATTTATAAATATTGTATTTATATATTTATAAATATATATATGTTATAAAATATATTATTAACCCTGTTATCATGTATTTGTTTGTTTGTTTTTCTCAGCTGTTACAAATGGATGTTGTATAATTTATTTGAAAGGACAAGTTTTAATACTATGAACTAGATGGTGAAAGCTACAGCTGTGTACCAGAGCTGAAGAGCTGTTATAATTATGAAGATACAGAAAGCATTAAATATATTGACATTTGGTTTTGTAGCCTCTCTGTTAATTCAGAAAAATAGGTTACCCAGAGAAGCTGTGGCTGCCTCATCCCTGGAAGTGTTCAAGGCCGGGCTTGATGGGGCTCTGAGAAACCTGGGCTAGCAGAAGGTGTCCCTACCCATGGCAGGGGATTGGAACTAGAGGGTCTTCAAGGTCCCTTCCCACCCAGGCCACTCTATGATTTTATTTTTATTGGAATATCAGTTGTGCTATGAATGAAATGCAGTGCAATGGGATGGTACTTCTCAAAGTGAAAGCATCGTGGTTAATGAAGATTTAGAGCTACCAAAAGCTTCATTTAGAAACTCTCACACACGTTTTCAGTTGCACATGGTTTATGTTGTTGGTAGAAATTATTTTTCCCGTGGAGGTTTCAGATGTAAGTATTTTAAACTTAATTTAAAATAAGAAGTCCCGACTCTCCAGCGTGACTTATTGTGCTGTCAATGCCCCCCCCCCTCCCCGTGCCTGTCTTTTGTGTACCCCACAGTACATCATAAAGGTGGCAGGGTCAAAAGGAGTGTTAGAGCTGGGACAAGAGCCAGGCCAGCCTGCAGAGGGGCTGCTCTGTCAGTCCACCCTCCTGGTCCTGACACATCCCACCCTGGTGACTGTACTGGGACATGGGGCTGCTGGGGATAGGGGTAAGCAGCTCATTTAGGGTGGAGGGCAGTGAGCCAGGAGAGCCCCTCTCCCTGGGACTGCTCTATGTATCGCCATTTTTAGTAATTTTCCAAATTAATTCTTGCTGGAGCATGGACTTGATGATCTTAAAGTCTTTTCCAACCTAAGTGATTCTATGAGTCAGTGTCTTTTAGGAAGCCCACTCAGGGCAGAGATGAAACTGTAGCGCTGACTGGGAGCCCTCTGCAGTCATTTGCTGTGCTGGTGGTTTATTATGATGATTATTGTCTGTGCTGGTTCAGGAAAAAATTGCACTTTGCCCTTGCTGTGGACCTGCACAGTCCCAGCTTCCCACTGTGCTGGGAGGTGTCCCAGTGCCAGTGTGCTCCCTCTGAGGGACCTGCCTGGCTTGTCCTGCCCTCTCTGGAGGCAGCCAGGTCATCCTCAGCAGTTGCCACCCCACATCCCCCCAGCCTTGTGCTGTCCCTGTGTCTTCAATCCCTCAGTTACTCTCGGGTTCTCCTCCAGACCTCGGCCAGAGGTGACAGGAGGCTCCAGGTGCCCCCGTAGCAGTTGTGGAGTGCAGAGCACAGACACAGTGCTATCTCTGCTCCTCCTGGAGAGCCCCAGTTTATCCAGCCTGTGGCCATATCCCTGCATGCCTTGGTAATCTACTGCACCGTGCAGGAGCCTGGGGACATGCCCCTGCCTTTGAGGTGAGTGGCTTTTAAGCAATTTAGTTTTTTAAGGTGTATCTTAATGTCTCTGTTACAGACAGTGCTTGTTGCTTCTCTTCGTCCTGTGTTATCAAGTTGTTCTCTCTATTTAGTGCTTTTCTGGTGTCGAGTCACTTACACAGCACTGATTTTGCTGTTTCCTTCCCAATTACTGCCAGAAATATTGCATGGCCTAAGGTGACAGCTTAGTTCCTGTTGCAGCCAGCGTTGCCAGTTATTTGCAGGTCTGTTTGGGATCTGCCACTTAGAGAGCTGTCGATAGCTGTCATACACCTGTGTGTGCTCTAATGAGGTCCGTTATGCCAGTGCTCCCTTTCACCTGCACAAAGACATCTGCTGAGGTGAGAGCTCTTTGCCTGGTGCTGCAAGAGTGGTTCCTGACTCCCTGACCTCACACTGAAACCGGAGCCTTGCTGGGCTCCAGTTTTCGGGGTCATCACGTTGTGCCAGTCCTCGGGGAGCATCGGTGGTGATGGCTCAGAAGACTTTTTGGCACAATCTTATAACAGTTGAAGGTGTAAATTATTTGCTGCTGTTGTTTAAGAATGATCTATATTTAGTTCTTGCTGTTTAATATCATGCCAGGTTACTCCTGACAAACATGACCGTGTCCTTTCCCTTTCTCCTCAGGACAGTGTTAGCATTTATATTGGCCATTTCTCACTTTTCTACATTGTGACTAATGTTTCCACTGTTCTGTTGTTGTCAGTGGCACTTCTTATTGTCCTTATTATCTATAAAAAACTCTCTAGGTTGTTTTCTAACAGTGTGGTGTTTAGCTTGCACTCTCATGCATTTTAAGGTGGTGTCAGAATTTTAGGGACTTCACAATGATTTACAAATTCTAGGATTCATTAATTCCTTCACTCATTAGGGTTGCAAGTTGATACATATTTTTTTTTCCCATGTGATGGAGGTGGATATTTTTGCTGCCCTATTTGTCCTGGGCAATCATTCATGTTTGTGCACTGACAAAACACCTGGCACAGTTCCCTTCCTGGTAGCCTGCTGGCAGCTTTGGAGCCGGGATGGGATGCAGCATTTAGGTCAGTTCTCCTCGGGATGCCGTTTCAGGAGCGGGCTTTGTGTTTCACACCACGCTGGTGCCGGGGCCAACGTCTCTGTCCTTTGGGCTTCCCCTTTCCACAGCACAGAGGAATCTATTTCTCCTCCTGATTTTCACCTGGGCAGGGGGGGTGAGAGAAAGAGGGATGCATGGAGACTATGCAGAGATGGAGACTCTTGGGGTGGAAAAAGCAGATTTCAGATTTTTTTACCCCTTTACTACTGCATGTTCACACTGTCATGAATGAGCTCGTGGAAGGCCGGGCAGGACGACGTTCCTGCCAGCCCAAATAAAACCAGGGGCTGTTTGCATTTTCCACTTAACTTTTTTTTAAAATTTTCCTCACCTCTGAGACGGGCTGCAAAATCTGGGCTTTTATGGCTGCCAAGCTACAGTGGAGCTCATCCTGCTCTGCTCCACGCGACTCAGGCACCCCCAGGGGATGAAACATCCCATTGCTGGGAAAATTGTCCTCTCTGAGCGTTACTTCTCTGGCTGGGCAAGCACCTTGGTGGGGTGCCTTGCTTTGAGGCCGTGGCACCTCGGGCTCACTTCAGCTGCACCCCAGGCTCTCAGCAGCACGGGGGGAAGCATCTCACTGCCTGGCCCTCGGGGAGCCAAACCCACAGAAGGTTTGGGCTCTACGTGCTGCTGACACCTCGCAGGAGCCGGGAGCGCGTTACAGCAACAGATTCCGTATTATTCCAGCCTCGCAAGCGTCTCCTTGCGATACTAAAAACACCAGCTAAAAGCCAAGTCCAAGCTCTCAATGAATGACTCCGTGGAAATGCTGTCGGGCACGTTTCAGTGCTGCTTTGGCTTTGATTTAAACGGGTAAACACGGTGAGTGGGTGTTTGCTTTGACTTCTTCCTCGCAGCGAAAGACTTCCTTTGAGGGAAGGCAAAGCCTCCAGTGCTGTTCCCCATCACAGCATTGGACCGTTCTGCCCGTGGTTTGATTTTGGTGATGCCTTTGCTGCCTGCCTGGGTCCTGTGCTGCCCAGCAGCAGTGGGAACCCCCCCAGTTTACCCAGTACCAGGGACGCCTCGAGCCCAGGGCTCTACTTAAGGGTAGGAATAACCTTGGCAGAGCCTGGTTTCTCCACCTGGTTGTGGCAGAGTCATCCCCCTTGGGATGATGACCAAGGACCTCCTTGGCTTTTGTGGGCACCTCCCCCTGCTTGACCCTACCTGACTGCTCTGTTTCCTTTGAAGCGCCCCAAAATCACCTCCAGCTTTGGCTGCACCATGATTACACGTCAGAGACAGCCTTCACCACGTGGTGGGTGGTCTCTGGAGGAGGCAGGGTGGGTGCAGCCCGTCCTCTCCTTGTCCTGCTGCTTTCGGAAGAGCCCCCCTCTGCTCCTCACACAAGTCCCCCACCTCCACCAGAGCCATCAAAACCGGCTCCTTGGCAGCCTGTGCACGTAGGAACCATCTTCTGGTAACAGATTGTTGTGTATTTAATGAACCCGAGGAAAACACGGAATCCGGAGGCTGTGGGGCGATACGAGTTTGCTGTTCAGTCTGCCAAATTCACGCTCATTCAGACAACTCGCAGATGTTTGGCTCCTCGTTCGTCAAAGAGGTTTATGGAAGATGCAGCGCTCAGAAATTCACGGGGAGACGGAGGTGGCAGCGTGGGCAAAGGTTTCCTGGCCCCAGAGGGCTCCTTCCCTCCCTTCGCTGTGCCTTCCCCTTGCCAGTGTTGATGGCAACGGATGGACAAACAGCAGGGAAAAGTGCCTTTCGGTCACTAGGAGGATTAATAAAGGCCCTGGGTTCGTCTTTCAGGAGCCAAGGAGCTCTTTGAAAGCTATTTCTGAGCTGAGGAATGAAGCCCCAGAGACTGCCCAGGAGCCAAAGTACTCTGGTGTAATGCAAACAGTGTAGGGTGTGCAGGTGACAGTGGGCACGTGTGTTACCCTGTGTGGGCACAGAGACGGTCCACTGAAAGCACCTGAAGTTCTTAAAATATTGCCTGCTTACTTCAGGGAGATACTTTCAATTTTTGGAAGGTTCTAAATGGTCATTTTTCTGCACTGCATGTGAGGGTTCTGCAGTCTTAGGGTGATTTATCCATAAAGGAGAGCTGGTAGAAGACAGTGTGGAATCTGCAAATTGATCCATACATCCAGTATTTCCCTGCTTTTACTCCAGATAAATCTGTAGGGGCTGTCAGCCTCTACCTCTTCTCCAGCTCAGCCTTGGAAAAAGGAGAAATCTGACCTGCAAGCAGCAGGTTGGAAAGAGATGATCTTTAAGGTCCCTTCCAGCCCAAACCATTCTGTCATTCTGACCCTCAGGGCATTATGATCTGGCTGTAAGTAGATGGACGTTGTTTCATGGAGGTGGGTGTTCAGGTGGGTTTATGTGCTGTTTGAAAATGGTTTGAGCTTGAGAAGTGAGTCAGTAAAAGTGTTGTGGTGGGGCTATTTACCATCTCTGGCTCAGACATTTCAGGCTGTATATGGGAAAAGAATATAAGGAAGAAACAAGAACTGGTTTTTTGTGTCTGTTTACTAGAGCAGCGTGCTCTGAGCAGTAATTAAAAGTAAACCTGGACCCTGCTGGCTTGTTCAGCATCCCTAGTTGTTGAGATTAAGCAGCCAGAGCAATTCTCAATTCAGCAATTCCTCAGCTTTCGGGAGCATGGCCAACACTCACAGTGTCTCACAGACCACTGCAAATTCTTGTAATAAATCTCACAATTGAGGCGGGGGGAGGAACCCACAGAAAGGTGAGATGGTTTGTAGGACCAGCAGGCTGGATTGCTGCTGCTGCTTCAGCTGCTCTTCTCCAGAGACAACCCTTGGTCCAATATTTCTACTATTCCTTGGAAATAGTACTCAAAGTTAGAAGCAGATTAGGCCATGATTACAGGTTTGCTCAGAAAGAATGTGTCATTTCTATGGTTGTAGGGACTAAGAGCATCCTGTAGGATGGCCCACACATGCAGGGATATTGGTGGTGTGTGTCCCCAAGGCGACGTGGCTGCAGGGGTCTGTGTTCCTGCAGGACTCCCCGGCGTCAGTCCTGCTGGCTGAGGAGGATGCTGAGCTTATGGGGCTGAGCTCTGCTGTGTGGTGTCAGTGGCTCTGGGGTGTTGTTCCACGGCAGAGTGTTGAGCTGGGAATGCACCCTCATGTTGGAGCAGCTCGTCAGCCTATGCCTGTGGCCAGCTAAGGAATGATCCCATTGGGGGTGTGACCCTGGTCCTCAGCAAAACTCGTGCAGGCTGGATGTGCAGCCAAGAGATACCCAAGACCTCACATTAGTGCTCCAAACGTGTCTGGTCTTCTCTTTAATCCCCACAGGTGAGTTTTTGTGCAGTGAGCCGGGTCCTGTCTAGTCACTTCATAGAATCATCACAGAATCACTGAATGGCCTGGGTTCAAAGGGACCTTAAAAGATCATCTTGTTCCTTCCCCCTGCCATGGGCAGGGACACCTTCAACTAGCCCAGGTTGCTCCAAGCCCTGTCCAACCTGACCTTGGACACTTCCAGGGATGGGGCAGCCACAGCTTCTCTGGGCAACCTGTGCTGGTGCTTCACCACCCTCACAGGGAAGAATTTTTCCCTCATATCTTGTCTAAACCTACTCCCTTTCAGTTTGAAGCTATTCCCCCTTGTCCTGCTGCTTCCCATGTCTCACTGGTTCCTCTCTGTTGGAGACCGGCTGTCTCCTCACCCGCACCTCTCGCTTGCTGGTTGCTGTTTTGCAATGACTAATTTTGCTTTCTTCTTCTTCTCCTTTTCAGTTGCCAGGGAGGAAAAGGCAAAGTCACTGCCAGCACCATTTCCTTCAGCCTAAAGATGTTGAGACAAAGCACCTCTGCCCCTGCCCTGTCCTTTCAGTGCTTCCGCTGCTGGTGTATACGGGAGTTGTTCCCCTGCCACTCCTATTCCCTAAGAGCACAGGGGCAATAAATCTGATGTGTTTTACTCAGCTAGATGGTGTGTAACTGTCCTTAATTGCTCTTATTTCTCTTTGGTGAGAGCTTGCCTGCAGATCAGGTCCGACCCAAACATGTAGATCTGGCCGTGAGCTTGGACTTCAGTATCTCCCAGGAGGAGACTGGGGTTGTTTGGATGCGTGGTTTTGGGACTCAGGGTGCTGAGGTGTTACACAGGCACTTGGAGCAAGGGATGGGCTTGAAATAATAGATTTTTGTTTGCTCAGTAATTGATTTATGGCTGTGGGCAGGACCCTGGAACGTGTGTTGTTCCTGGTGGTGAGGGTTAAGCCAGGTTGCATGAGGCTGTTCTTGGAGGCTGCACATGGTATTTTCGGTCCCTAATCTGGTCCCTCAGGATGGGTGCTGTTATGGTAGACCTCAGAATCCTTCTGGCTGTGTGTTTTATTAGCGTGGCTGCAGGTGAGTTCTGGGCTATGCTGGTGAGGACCTGTATTCCTGTGTGAAGCTGTTGGCCATGAGCAACGAGGTGATGTGGTTCTTGAAGCTGTGCAGACCTCCAGGATGATGCTCACCTCAAACACCCCTTTGCCGTGCCAGGTGTTTAAAATGTTACATGTGGGTAAGTCTTTTACTTAGTAATTAGTGCTGAAAGTGTGTCTTTATGTTGTTAGCCCTGGAAAAGTCTAGTCTTGCTGCAAGCAGGAGGCAGAGGAAGACATTTCCTTATTCCTTTTCTTTGGCTGGTGATCTCTGATTCCTTTATCTGAGTACTTAGAGCATGTGGCAGCACAAGTCTTAGCCAGGCAGGGATCAGGCAGGAGGGGAGTGCCGTGCAGGACCCGTGGTCTCCTGCACTGGAGCCCTTCTCCTGCCTCTTGGAAGGATGGTGCTTGCCCTTCCCAGCAGCTGGGGAAGACCCTGTGGAGCAGGGGGAGCTGACTGCAGGCTCAGGGCAAGATGGGGCAGGGCTGCAGCCTTTGTGCTCTGAGGGCTGGGCAACCTGGGGCAGCTTTTTCCTCTTGACAGAATCCCAGGGGGCGATCCTGTTGTGGCTGCATCCGTGGAAGTTTTGTCCTTTGAAAGCCACGTGCACTGACTCATGATCCTGTTGGCTCGGGACTAGTCCACGGTGCATTTTCAGAGTGTACAGACTTCTTCTTGGGCCCTGAATGGCATTTTTCACGTTTATTGGAGGATTTTACCCCATAAATAAACTCATTATTCATTAATGACATGGGAGATTGCTCAGGCAAGGGGAACAAACTGCCCAGAGCTGAGCCCCCTCAGCCCTGCTACAGAAGGCAAATTGTTGCCTGAGTGAGGAAATGAGCCCAGACTTAGCTGCATGCAAATGATAGGCTTTGAGGATTTTTCCAAATTCATAATGCAATAAATCAACAAATTGAAGATGTACTTCTTGGCACTGTCCAAAGCCCTGATGGTGAGACAGACTGTGCAATGAGGAGAGTCAATATAGCCCCAAGTACCCTCTAGGAAGGGGAAGGATGGAGAGAGAAGCATGTTTTATAGTTTGGGTAAATATTGCAACGTGATGCTCTGCAGAAAGCCTTAAACCCCACAATTTTCAATTGCAGTCACCAGTTTTGGCTATTTCTCCAAACTCTTTGTAGAATTTGCACAGTGTGGGGGAATTTCCATTTCACTGGTGAGAGTGGGAGGGGGTTAAGCCTTAGAATTGTGATCAGTGTTGCCCAGAGGGATTAGGTTTGGTTCTTCAGACGTGTGGGTCTAAACTGCGTTAAATAAATCACGGTGGCTCCTCTCTCAGCCCCTCATTTTCTTCAGGCACAGCACAGGGAGTGGTGCTGAGGCAGGGGGTAGGAAACAAGGTCCTGTGTGGATTGTGGCTTCTTCACTGGAGACTTGGAGCAGCATTAAAAATCCACCAGGGGCAGGCAATTTATATTCTGACAGTGATGACCCTGTTGTGCTTGCAAGGTGTATCAGTATGCAAAATTCGGCACTGGCTCCTGGTTCCTGTGTGCCCTTCCCACTGTAAATAGGTTTTATGTCAGTGTTTGTGTGTCTGGAGATGGATTATTGAGCTCCATGGGGGTTGAATGTTTTCTGGGTGTGGGGTGGTGATCCCACAGCACGTGGAAATCCCCAAGTGCCACACTGACAGGTCTTTTAAATCTCTCTAGGGATGGGGACTCCACCACTGCCCTGGACATCTGTGCCAGGGCTGGACAACCATTTCTGTGAGAAAATTTTTCCTAAAATGTATGGGATGTGCTATTGGTCACTGCTCAGGCTCCCTCTAACCACGGCAGTGCCTCTGACAGACAGTTTGTCAAATCCCGAGGTATTTTCCATACAGTTCAGTGTAACAGGTGAAGAGGACGTGGCTGTGACTGGTGCTTGGAATCTGCTGTGGTAACACCAGTTGTGGGGTGGGGAGTGGGACCTCCCTGCAGGGAAGGTCTCCCTGCTGTTTGTCCCCTGTGAGCTGCTCTAGGGCTGTGCTCCTTGCTTGTGCCTTGTAAGGAGCATGTTTGTTCTCCAGCGTTACCTTTCAAGCCCGTGGATGAAAGCTGGATCATCTGAATTACTCTTTTTGCAATGTAACTTTTTTTCCCAAGCCCAACACTCCGTGACTGTGATACTGTCCAGGAAGCAGCTCTGGGAGAAACTTCTTCCCACCTCTGCAACTGCAGAGAGCACTCTGGCTTCTGTTTGGTCTGTATTTTGAATGAAAACCCAAGGAAAAAGCAGGGTTTGCTAAAATCTGGGGGCTTCCATGCACTAGTGCTTCTCATGGGCACTTCATACAGCCTGGGAGATCATGTCAACCCCAGTGGCCATGGCCTGAGCCTGAACTTAACCTTGACATCAGGATGAAGATAATTCCTTTATCTGATTGCAAGTGAGGAAATACATTTCTTAAAGTAATTAATGGTCCCTGAAGAGTATATTTTTATTAGCATGTGTGTGTGTGTGAAAGCATCCAGTCTATAAATACACAGTAATTTCCTCCTCAGCACCAGCAGGACCCGTCCCAGCTCTGCAGTTTCTGTCCCGTGGCACTTGTTTGTATCAGGAGGGCATGACGGGGCAGGAGCCCAGCGAGGCAGGATGGGGAGCCAAAGATCATGCTCTGTGGAAAGTTTTCCTTTTCACTGCAGTTCCTCCATGGGGGTGATTCCAAAACCAAGCCAAGCAGTCGTTAAAATTGCTCGTACCTGCAAGCGCACCTCAGACCCGGCGCTGGGGGTGGTGGTGGTGGTGTTGGCTGCCAGCTCGCAGTTCTCTGCCATTAGGGCTGTGTTAATTGCAGGAGATGCAGCAGGGCAGGGAGAGGGGAGGTGTTTGCTGCATCCTGGCCAGCTTGGGCAGGAGGCTCTGCCCGTACTTGCCGCTGCTCCCTCCCGCTGGCTGCCGCACACCGGCGTGTGTGCCGGAGCCTGCTGCAGCAGCACGAACCATTCCCTTAGGGAAAGGTAATTTTTCCTGGAGGAATCATACCTGGTGAGCGAGGAACTGTGCTCAGCTGCTTCCGTGCTGCTCTGAATGTTTGTTTGATCTTCGCTCCCTGTGTCACTGCGGTGCCGCCAGTGGCCCCGGTGTCCTCCCAAACACAGGGAGCCTGGCACCGCAGCCAGCATTCCTAAATCTGTGTCAGGATCAGGGACAGCTATGACTGTGATAGATAAGAATCACACAATAGTTTGGGTTGGAAGGGACCTTAAAGACTGCAGGGACACTTTCCATGAGACCTGATTGCTCCAAGCCCTGTCCAACCTGGCCTTGAACACTTCCAGGGATGGGGCAGCCACAGCTTCTCTGGGCAACCTGTGCCAGGGCCTGCCCACCCTCACAGGGAAGAGTTTTTCCCCAATATCCCATCTAACCCTTCCCTCTGGCAGTGGGAAGCCATTCCCTTGTCCTGTCACTCTGTCCCTTGTCCCAAGTCCCTCTCCAGCTCTCCTGGATCCCCTTTAGGCACTGGAAGGGGCTCTAAGGTCTCCCTGGAGCCTCCCCTTCTCCAGGATGGACAACCCCAACACTTGTGCCCTCTTCACATAAACCCAGGCTATTCATAGTATAAATATGTGATCTGGGCTCACAAATTATGTGTCATTTTGACAGTCAGAAATGTTTTACTTTTTTATTTAACAGTTTTCCTCTGGCCATTGGGTTTGCCCAGAGGTTTATGATGAAGTTACCAGTAAATTGTATGTTATTAGCCCACTGATGTCCATAAAAAGCTGGAGACTGTACCAGGTACCCCTGGGAGCAGTAAATCTTTGGAAAATGTATTGATTCCCAATCTTGGCTTTGCACTCTGAATGAACTTTGTCCCCACAAAATAATAGAAGGTGATTTTTCTTAACCAGCCAGCTGGCCTTTAAATGAGCTACTCTTGGCACCACCACAAGGCCTAATCCAAGTAAACAGGGACAGGATGATTTACGAGCTGGGAAGAGCAGCCATATCAGTTCAGAATGAGGGTCAATACTTAGCAGCATATTCTCAACTGTTGCCCTTAAATATCACAATTGGCTTTGACGGGATGGTACAGGATCAGTGTTTTATGCCCTTTGGATCAGTGTGGGTTTGGTTGTTTTGCACTAACAGCAAAGCAACAAAACAGGGAAATGGGATTAGAGGAGTGATTTGGGGAAAACGCTGATTTCGATAATCAGATTGGAATTGCAATCTGTCTGCTTTTACACAGGAGTCAGTCTGTCAGGGAGGATGCCAGGAGGTGAGGCAGGGCTCATGGTCAGGGCTGAGCAGTGCCTGGCTTTATATTGTGCTTTATAGACACTCCCTGTTGTGCAGCCTCTAACATTCTCTACCTAAAACTACCTAAGAAATAGGCTAAGGATCAAGAGACATGTTGTGGGTCTTAGGATTTCAGGGCAGAGAGCTCTCTCCTTCCTTGCAGGTTCCTCTTTGTCTTGTTTTTTCCTTAAAGGACTCTTCATAGGTTGGGAACTGGAGAGTAACTGTGGTGGAATAGGGGCATCCAGGAGGGATTTAACAGCCTTAATGATGATGGAGGGCCTTTTTCTGCTGGGTGTCTGCTCCCAGCTGGTGTGATGGCAAGGGCTTCTGTGAGATCAAAAACAGGGCTTTAATGAGCCCTTCTTTCAAAGCGTTGACATCTTCAATGTAGGGATACGAATTCCCTTTCTAAATGGAGAATTCAGAGGAAACTTTATTTGTTTGACTGAAATACTTGTGTCCCTCGTGTGCTTCCCACAGCTCCTGCAAGCGCCCATCCCATTAAACACCTCTGTGCTGAGAGGGTGCAGAGGGACACCAACAGTGTTTTAAGAGCCTAAAATAAACACTCCTCAGCAGTAACCGCCACCAGGGTGTTTTTTTGGGCAGTGCTTGCCCCTTGCCCAGTGCATCCACCCTCCAGGCAAGTCCCTAAAGGCTGTTCCTCTCTCTCTCTCTCTCTGTGTGTAGGGAGTTTTCCACGCTCCGAGGCTGTCCCTGTGCATCCCCCGAGGAGCCGGCGGGGCCCAGCCTTTCCCAGGGGAACATGGACTGAAAGAGGAGCTTTGGCAGGCCCCAGCTGCCAGCACCCTTCTCCTGGACCCTGATGGACTCCGAGGCAGGACTGCATTACCATGGTGATGATCTTAACCAAAACTCGGGAAAACAAAGGTGCTGACTCCGTAACATGCAGGACTGAGCTGGTAAGATTTGCGAATTCTGTGCTCAGAACTGTTGTGCTGCTGAGAACTTTGCTGTAGCTTTGTAATAATTTTTTTTTCTGTGCTGCAGGGCTGGCTCTTTAGGTGGTTTGTAGCACTGATTTCTGCCGAGCTGTGTTAATATCCAAGGAGCGGGTGATTAGTAAATGATTGGAGTGCTGTGGCTTTTGCATATGTGGATTTCAGTAGGCCTGCAGTGGGATAAACAGTAGGAAAAAATCAAATCAATGCTGTGAATAACACAGGTGAGAAGTTGCTTCCCCAACAGTGAACAGATGCTCCTCATTAATAAGAGGATGAGCAAGTGGGGAGCAGGATTAAGTGGGAGATGGCGAAGGGCAGTGCTGGGGTACTTTTAATTTTGCTGGGAGCCTGGAGAGATGCAATTCCAGCCACACTGGAGGAGCAGGCAACAGCAAAAACCCAAATGAGGGCCAACAAACAGCCTAAAGGATACTGCAAGGGGTGAGCAAGGCTGTGGGGCTGAACACACCTGTGGTGGGGCAAATAGGGGGCAATATACCTGGAGGCAGGGTCAGAGCAAATGGGGGTGGGAGTGGGGCAGGAGGAAGAGGTGCAGGGTGTTGGAGAGCCATCTGAGAGAGCCCAGAGAGAGGCTGGTTGTGGACATGTGTTCCTCTGTCCTCCTGGAGAGATGGTCACGGCCTGAGAAGAAATTAGACCAAAGGGCAGGGTGCACTGAGAGTCTCAGATAAGGGCATGCAGGAACACAGCAGGAAGCATCTGGCAGGATTAGCCATAAATGGGCATTTTGAACCTAAAAGAAATATAAATACCTCAGTTTGCTGAGGATGACAAACTGTCCAGCTGGGCTTCCCGGGCAGCCAGCGCAGTGTGCCGGGGAAGGCAGTCTGCCCTGGCAGTGAACAGCACAGGAGAAGGTGAGCAAGCCAGAGGCAGTGCTAAATCCTGCCTTAAAAGGGTGAAATTTCGGAAGGATTTTGATATATTAAAAGAGTATCCTTGTTCTAGTGTTAGCTCCTGCTGGGAAGGCAGCACAGCATGTCCTGTGTCTGCTGCTCAGGGTGGTGAGGGGGGAGCACGAGCACCTGATGCTGGTTGTACCCCAGGAGGTGTGTGGGGCAGGGGCAGGGGAACTGGCTGCAGAGAGACAGATGAGAGGAGCTCCTTCCCTACAAGAAGGGGTGGGTGCTTGGGCTGTCTGATGGCAGACAGCAGAGATGCAGAGCTGTGACACGAAACTTTGCCCTCCCGTGTTTGCCGAGTGCTTCCCACGGCTCCAGTGCTGGGTCGGTGGTGCAGTGATAGTCCTGGGTACACAGCTGGCATTGCTGGGTTGCCCAGGCTGTTAAACTGGGGCAGACCATCACAGCAAGGCTGATCCACCAGAGAAAGCAGGAGTTTTTCTGTTGACTCTATGGGCAAGGCCAAAAAGCAAAACTGAAAGGAAGTACGTGTCTGAGCGATGGGGCAGTATCACCTGCCAGCAGCCAATGGGCTTGTTTGGCTCAGTTCCCGATTTGGTATAAGGACAAAATCCTTACCAAATGGTAATTATACTCAATATGGGACATATGTCCTATTCCTCTCCCTCCTCTGCATTTGCAGGCAGTGGCTGATCCCTGGGGCTGGCACACAGATGTGCTCTGGCACAGCCACTGCCTTCTCTGGGACTTGTCCCCCTTCCATCTTTGCTCCACTTTGGCCACTCTTTGGAGACAGCTGCCTGTCCTCTCTGCCTCCTGATTAATTCTACCTACCACTTCATAAAGTGGGGCTCGGCAGATGGAGATATCTTACTTCACCTAGAAAAATGGCGTGTGCTCCAAAGAAGGTGACTGACTGTTACTTACCTTCACCACATCTAACACCCCATAGTTGCTTTCTGCCTCCACATCCCTCTCTATTCAGTATTTACAACATTCTGTATATGAAGTGGGATCCTTTATTGGATTGCTCTGTACAGGCAGGTGCCATCGTTTGGTATACTATTATTATTATTATTATTATTATCATCATCATCATCCTCATCATGCACTGGAGACAGTGGCACAGGTTGCCCAGAGAAGCTGTGGCTGCCCCATCCCTGGAAGTGTCCAAGGCCAGGTTGGATGGGGCTTGGAGCACCCTGGGCTAGTGGAAGGTGTCCCTGCCCATGGCAGGAGGTTGGAACTAGATGGTCTTTAAGCTCCCTTCCATCCTGTGATTCCATGGTTATGTGAGTAGGCAGCGTGTAAAACATGGATCAGGAGAGGAGGTGTGAATGCAGTGGCCTAATGCCAGGTAAAACACAATTATGGCAGTGCAGATGAGCGTGGAGGCCGTGCTGGTGCTTCCCTCTGATGATGTAAAGCCTTGGTCAGATGGGATGGTGTTGCCAGGATAGACACTTCAGAAGCCAGAATATGGATATTTTTAGGGATAATAAAAGAACAATTATTGTGAAAGTGTGTTTTTTCAGGCATAGCTGAAATGGCACGCAGCTGCAGATGACATATTGATTTATTATATGTAAAACCACCCATGCTCATTTTTAGAAGTCTGATGGTGTCTCTTATGCTGTCAAGAGGAAAATTCTTGGGGAAAAAAAAAAGGGTGTAAAAAGCAACTGGGATTATTTTGTATCCACGTAGTGGCACTTTTCCCTATTTTTAGTGCAAATCAGCACAATCCAAGTGCAGACTCCCCAGAAATGCTGAGTTGAGAGCACCTTGCCTTACAAACACATTATATGTTTAAAAAAAAATTAAATGGCTGCTTTGTACCTGGACAGGGGGGCCTTAATGGGCTTGGATGTGGTTCAGATACCACTGCTGCTGCTCTCTTGCCCAATCCAGAATTACTCCCAGACTGCAGCTCCCGCTTCTCGGTGTTTTGGGTCCTGGGAATGGGAACCTCTCTGCAGCTATTCCCCTGGGTAAGGACTAACTGCAGGACCCATGATCTGCAAGCTAAGGCCTTGACAACGACTCTGCATTAATTAAGTCTGATTTTGTTGAGGGAGGGTGACTGGGTCTGTCCCCTGGTCCCAGTCAAAGCCAGGCCGTGTCAGGCGCCCAAGGCTCTCCTCTCCGCTTTGCCGAGGCAGGGAGGTTTCTGGTGCCCAGGTCGAGTCTGCGAGAAGTGAATAGTTTTTCTGGTTGTTTGCAGCACACTCCAAAGATGAGTCAAGGACCTACCCTCTTCTCTTGTGGCGTGATGGGTAAGTAACAGAAACTTCTGTCTGTATTTACTCCACCTCCGCTCCCGCTTCCTCACCGCCATGGGTGGGAAGATGTCCTGACTAGATGGATGTCCCCAAAAAGCACACTCCTGCAAACTCTGGGGTGGGCATCCTGTCCCACATAGTGGGGACAGAAGGGCACCCACCCCACCACCCACTAGTGGTGGCCATCAGGCCTGTGCCACTCTGTTCCCCAGAGGTGCCCTGTTGCCACTGCCGAGGGAGTTAGTTGCTCCTCTCCTTTCCCCTCCCTTTTGATATATCTGCTTATTTTTAGAGTAACTCATGCAGAGAGATTATAAACATTTGGGGTCTGAGGTTGGGTTTGAGTACCCAGCCCATGACCGCGGCTCTTGAATGTTTGCACGATGCAAGTAACAAATAACAGTATTATCACCAAAATGTTCTACCACTTGGCACGAAGTGTTTGGACAGACCCCAAACAGTAAAGGAAAATGTCTTACTTTTATTGTTGGCAGTAACCACACACAGGATGTTTGATGCCTTTTATGTCGAGCTTCCTATCAATTTTTATGCTGAACAGCCACCAAAATTGATGGAGGATTTGTGCCTTGGTTGATGATCCTGAAAAACTCATAGTGCCAGAGGATGTGCTGTTGGGTTTTGCTCTTTGGCGTTCGTAGCAGGGGAGCCAGACACTGGGCGAAGCCTCAAAACCCAGTTAAAATTGTAGGTCAGGTTTGAGCCAAGCTACTTGCTGTGAAAGCCAATACTTGACAAAGAGGCTGCCCCTTCTCTTCGTGGACACAACTCTCATTAGCGTTAATGAGAGCCGGGCACATGCACTGACAGCAGATGCCTCCCAAGCTCTCCTCCAGTCGACTGGGGGAGCAGAGGAGATGGAGAGCATTTGGGTATTTTTTTCAGATAAAAATCGCAAGCTTCAAAGTCAAGAAGGGGTAGAGACAGCCTGTTCCCTTTCTCCCGCCTGTCAAACGTGAATGAGGAACAAAGAACCCAAATCAGATGGTTTTGTCTTGTGCTGTGGCACTGGCAGGCCCTTCAACAGATATGTTGAGTCCCTGCCTAATTGAAAAGCAGTTTGTCTCTAAGAGCTTCTACAAAGCCTTCTGCATCCTCCTGGTGCTGTGATGGTCTTCTGTGCCTGCCAAATCATGCTCTTTCTGAGGGAACCGAATGTCACCTCCTTGACCTCAGCGTGCCCTGTAGTTGTCTTCACCATGCCCAGTCAAGAGGAGCCCGTTTCTCCCCAGCATGAAAGGCCATTGGTTGGCTTGGGTTTAATTTCAGGCATCTCTCCTGAGTGTTCTTGATGTCTCCAAACTTGTTTGACTTCTTAAATAAGCCCCGTGGTTATTACAGCACCAAATGCAAAACTGGGGCAATATTTCAGGCCAAAGGGCCAAGTCCCTGTCTGTGGAAAGCACTGAGATAAATAAACACAGTGAAGTTTGGACTGGTAGCACAGCCAATGGGAGGCCAAGAATCATATTCTCATGTAAGATGCTGGGGGTTTGGAGGGAAGTTGGCTGAATATTCTGGGGTTTTAACCAGAAGAGGCTGAAGATCTTAGAACAGGGTCTTCCTGGTGCTTTTGGGGTGAGGACAGCTTTGGCAGGAAGGCAGCTCATGTCTGGTCCTGGTGACCAGGGGGCAGCAGGGCAGAGGGAAGCCCATGCTCTGCCAGGGAGGGCATCATCCAAACCCTAGAGTTCCCTCGTAAGGTACTAAACACCACAAGAATTTGAAAATGGATTATGGGTTGTAATAGAAGTCTGTGTATTGAGTAAACATTATTAAAGACTTGGTGTTGGGTGATGCAATGTTAGATCCACTTCTCAAGGTGACCTAAATAATCTTCTGATTTTTAGGATTTATAAGAAATAGCCCTGCCAGTGTGATGAAGTAATTACTAAAAAGATTGGCTTGTCTTTATATAGTCCTATGCCTGGAGGAACATTGAAGGTGAAATGCCTAAAAGTATAAATTCAATAATTTCCCTTTTCCCTTCTCCTTGATGGGTCCTTGAAACACCTGGGAGTATAAGAATTGTCCTGTTTCTCCTTCCCTTCCCCAGCAGTCTGCATTGCATGTTCACAGTGAATGTATCAGTGACTGTGCTGGAGAAAGAAGGTGACACATCAGAAAGCTGGGGCATTCGTGTGGGGAGGCCCTGGCACAGGTTGCCCAGAGAAGCTGTGGCTGCCCCATCCCTGGAAGTGTTCGAGGCCAAGTTGGACGGGGCTTGGAGCAACCTGGGCTAGTGGGAGGTGTCCCTGTCTGCGGCAGGGGGTGGAACTGGTTGGTCTTGAAGGTCCCTTCCAACACAAACCATTCTGAGATTCTACTATTTTTAACATCTTAGAGTGAAATTTTTCTGTCTTTGGGCAAATGGTTTGGAAGGGACATTAAAGACCATCTAATCCCACCCCCTCTGCCACGGGCAGGGACACCTTCCACTAGACCAGGTGGCTCCAAGCCCTGTCCAACCTGGACTTGCAAGGGAAGCTCAGTGGGTGTGTGCTGACAGCTGTGGCCTCCTGTTTTCTGTGTAAGCAAGAAATTATCTTTGAGCTGAGCTGCAGGCAGGGTTTTATTAAGGCTGTGACAAGGTGCTTGCTCATGCAGTCTCTGTGGCTGCAGGATCAGAGTCCTGGCCTGGCATCCCATGAACAGCCCTGGTTGTAAAAGGGAGGAGGAGGAGCAGGAGGAGGAGGAGGAAAGCCAACTCCTAGAATAATTAAGGCTGGAAAAGACCCCCAAGATCAACTCCTACCTTTGAACCCCGTCATGGAGATGATGCCCCTTGGTTGCATCATGAAAGCACTCGCTGGGCTTGCGTGTCTCCTGTCGCTGAACCAGGCTTTCCTGGAATTTTGGGGTACTTTTTTTTTCGGAAAAGACCTTCAGTGCAGAGCAGCATCTTGATGCACATTCAAGCACAGGCAACACACAAAGAGAATAAGCCACACAAGGAATTCTGGTGAGGTGTAGCTGGAGCAGGGAGACCTCACCAGAGGATCACATTGAAGAACAGGGCACGTTTTGCCATCGAGGTGGGGAATTTCCCTCCCCAGTGCAGGCTGTTGGCACCAGCAACCTGCAGCCCACAGGTGTGTTTATTCTCCAGAGTAGATTTTGGGGCCGTTGTTTTCATTTCCCATTGAAGCACAGTCTGTGCATCATATTTTCCTCTTATTTTTGCGCTGGGAATGCTCTATGACACTGCCATCAACTAATTACAGCCATTAAATGTGTTCCACATTTAGAAATTATCTCCTGAACATAAACAGGGGGCAGTGGAAAATGCAGGCTGCCTTTCCCCCTGTGCATGGGGGACTGTGAGACCGAAATCCAACTTGAACAACATGTGAAAGAAAAGGGAATTGGATGCACACCTGTGTGGAGAGAAATGTTTGGGTTAGGATCCAAACAGAATTTATCTGCCAAAAAGGATAAGAAAAATTGATTGAAACCCCTAATTGCTTTACAAGTTGCCGTAATAAATTATGTATTAATGTAAATTATTTCACGGGAAAAGAACGTAGAGGAGACTTGAGCAGAAGGATCATGCATTATGTATAAAAAAGAACTGTAAAAATATTATAGCAGCACATTTGTGTGGCTGTAGTTAAAGTTGTGTCAGCGTTTTGGTTTTACACCCTTCTCCGTGGTTATGAGAGTGGTCATTAAAACTTACTCGGTGTCACCAGAGGAGCATTTAAAAAGCCTGGGGCCGTCCTGGAGCTGCAAAGTGCCTGACGTGTCCCTGCGCTGCTCCTGCAAAAACCTGGAGCTCGGCATTTGGGAGCCTGGCTGTGATGCTCTGAGGATGGATCCTGCTCTCTGTGGGGCTGTGCAAAGCTCAGTGTGGAGGACAACACCCATCTCCTTGATTTTTGGGGTGTGGCTGGAGCCCACGGGTGCCCCGTGCCCCGGACTGCCTGGGTTCGTTTGTTGCAGTGAAGGCTGCACGAGAGAACAGGGGGATGTTGCTGAGGTGTTAGTGTTTATTTTTGCAGTTTTAAGTAAAAATACAGAGGGGGAGGTGCTGTTTCATCCAAGGACACTAACAGCCAAGGAGGACCTGTTTAAGCAGGGGGACAGCCCCTCGAGCCGCACTCATGCTGTGCTCTGCCTGCCCCGTCATTTTCCAATAGGCGAAGGAGGGTTTCCCAGCGAAACATCTCACTTGCAAATCAAGGGGTTCTTATGGTGGGTTTTATCCTGGAACAAATTAGTGCCTCAGGGTAAACCAGGCTGAGGTTTGTAATTAAAGACAATTAATACATGTTGAACTGCAGTAGAATTAACGACTCCAGTGCAATTACTGTTATCAGCTTGGCCAGGATGGGAATCTTACTCTTAAAAGTTTGAGCAGAAAACCAACCACTTTTCCTCAATAAGGCTTTCCAGAGTTCTTTAATTACACCTTCAACCTTTAGATTACCCCATTTTCAAACTGTTTCAGTGAAACCTGCTTTCTGTTTGCACTGAAAACCCATTTTCTGGAATATCTGCTACTTTGGGACTGGTCAGTGATGTTCAGGGGATTGGGGGGGGGGGGTCAGGCTGTGCAAACTCTCATGGTGCAAGGGGAAAAGCAAATTAACCCCAAGCTGGGGCTGGGGATAGCGGTGCTATTACCATTTTCTTTGCAAGGTTTGGAAGATTTATAGCTGTTTGTGCTGAAGCAGGGGTGAAAGAGGAAGGTGTCCCGTATCCTCCTCACCAAGGCCCTTTGTACAGTCTCCGGCCAGAGGATCGTGGCAGCTTGCCATGAAAAATCGGCTTCTATTTCTGTTTCTTTTGTCTGCTGACCTGACCTAAGAAACCTCTCAGCTGGCAGCATAATACAGAGGAAAAATAATAAAGATCTAAACATAGATGAAGTTGTTTAGCACACATTTCTCACTTTTCATTGTGTTTATTAAAATGAGGAGAGCAGCAGTTGAAATGCCATGCGGTTACTGCGGGCAGAGCCAGGCTGTTTGTGGCTGGAGCTGGAGGCAGGGAGAAATGGGAAAGTTGGCCAAGAGTGGTGGAAGGGGCCCCAAATCTGACCTCCTGACTTGAAACCTTTGTTGACAGCCCTCTCTACCGCTGCGCCTTCCCTATCAGGCTGGTACCTGCGGCTGCGGGCTGGGTAGGGCTTTGAATTCATCCTTCAGTTGCCCGAGTGGAAATACCCAAAAACCCCCCAAAAAGATTGCATGGCTTAGATACGATCATGCGAAACCTGGCAGCGACGGTTGGTTGGCTGGCACGGTTGGCCTCTGTTTGCAGCAGCCGACGACAAAAACAGGCACCAGTGAAAGTCTGTTGGGTGATGACTTTTTTCCACTGCAGCAGCCGGCGGGGTTGTCCTACCACGGCTTTCCTGTTGAGCGGCAGTGGCGTATCTGCAGAGAGCCCCGTCCGCCTGCGCGGCCCGTGCAGGGCAGCCCGGCCTTGGTGGTGCTTTGCTTTCCTCTTTTGTTGTCAGGGGGATGTGTGTGGGAATGAGATCGTCACCCTCAATCCTCTCTTCTGACGTGGTCATTGGCGGGAAGCTGGGGAAGGGTCTGGAGCACCAGGAGCGGCTGAGGGAGCTGTGAGGGCTCAGCCTGAAGAAAAGAAGGTTCAGGGGGGAGCTTCTCACTCTCAATAATTAACTGAAATGAGGGGGTAGCCAGGTGGAGGTCAGTCTCTTCTAACAGGTAGCAAGTAAACAGAACAAGAGGAAACACCCTCAGGTTGCACCAAGGGAGGTATAGACTGGATATTAGGGTTGTCCAGGGCATTGGTGGAGTCCCTGTCCCTGGAGGGATTTAAAAGCTATGCAGATGTGGCATTTGGGGCCATGGGTTAGTGGTGGGCTTGGCAGTGATGGGGGAATGGTTGGACTCAATGACCTCGGAGAGCTTTTCCAACCTAAACAATTCTGGTGTTTCCATGATTTTATTCTATGATTCTATGATTTCTGAATACAGCTGTAACCAGGTTTGCAGTCTTCCTCCATGGAGCTGCCTGCAGCCCTATACATCTCAGCCTGCAGACTTTGGAGGTCCAGGTTTCTTGGAGCTTTACCCAGGCACTGCAAAACCCACCTGATAAAAGGAGTATCTTTATGCTGACCCTGAAACCATGCAACAGATCACCACCATCTTTTGCTGTGCTGCATTGAAAGATTTTACTAAAGCCAAATTTGCATGAGGAACAAATTCCCCTGTAAATAAGATGAACGAAGTAGAGAGGAATAAATAAATAAGTCTATGTAAGAGAGGAATAAAATAAGTGTTTGGGGTTTTTTAAATGGTGAACCTATTAAGCAGTTTGTTTATTTAAATAAATGCTCAGCCTTATGTTTCTTAGAGAAATGTGAACAACTGGCTGTGCTAGGTACACCTGGGATCTTTAAGGCAACCCCAAAGGGATGCTAAACCGAGGTTGCAGCAGAAGAGTAGAAGTTTGACACTATCTTGGGCTCAGTTTGGGAGAGATGCTCAGAGCCTTGGTGGGGATAAGTTGGTTTCACTGGAGCAATGCTGATTTAGCAGTGGCTGAGAGCAGGACAGCCCGATGGGTGTTGGGGTGGCTTTTGGTTTCCCGTAGGCTCTGGTGACCTTGTTGGGGTTTCTGTGCTAAGCCAGGCAGATAGGCAGATCGGTGCTCAGTGGGACACCCCCTTTTCCATTAGGACCATCTCAACCCCTCTCTTGTCTCCTTTCTCGTGTTTTGTCCCCCGGGGTCCGTCTTGCCCCAGATTTGTACTCTTCACTTCCAGTTTTTGTGAGCCTTTCAGGCAGTTATTGGTTGTGGAACCCAGGACAAACCGCCCACATCTGAGACATGATTTAGCACAGAGGTAACCCATGGCCACACCGTTTTATACTGCTGAATTCCCCTTAACCAGTGCCATCTGGAATATCCAAAGCCATGTTTTTATCTTCTTCTAGCAGTTTTGCTCCTGCTGAGATTGTCACTTTGTCTCTCTCTCCACCTACGCCGTACAAGCCGCTCTGCTGGCAGTTCGGAAAACCATATTCCAAGAGTTAATTAATTTGTACTGGAAAACGTCCCATATGCTACTCTTTTGTTTATGGACATAGAAAAGCGAAACGCAGAATTAATTAACGCTAATGCCTGTGCGTGTGTGTTGTTTGTTTTTCTGGTTTGTTTTTTTTTTGTTTTGGTTTTTTCTCCTTTCTGAACCAGAAAATGACAGATGGAGAGATCTCAGCAGGAAGTGTCCACTCCAGCTCGAGCAGCCGGGCGCCAGCATCTGGGACTGCTTGTCGGACAAGGGCGAGGAGGGCCCGCGCTGGCCGAGGGAGGCGGCCACCACCTGCTCCGTCACCAACCTGATCAAGGACCTGAGCCTCAGCGACCCCCACGGCAACGCCTCGGCCCCCCCCAGCAAGCGCCAGTGCCGCTCGCTCTCCTTCTCCGACGAGATGTCGGGCTGCGGGACCTCGTGGAGACCGCTGGGCTCGAAGGTGTGGACGCCGGTGGAGAAGCGCAGGTGCTACAGCGGGGGCAGCGTGCAGCGCTACTCCAACGGCTCCGCCACCATGCAGAGGAGCTCCAGCTTCAGCCTGCCCTCGCGCTCCAACCCGCTCTGCGCCGAGCAGCCCACCCGGCTGGGGGGCCAGCCCAGGAAGGCGGCTGCCGGCTGCGGGCGCGAGCGGGTGGACATTCAGAGGTCCCTGTCCTGCTCGCACGAGCGCTTCTCCTGCTCGGAGTACGGCGTGCCCTCGGCCAGCAGCACGCCCGCCTCCACGCCCGAGCTGGGCCGCCGCGCCGGGGGGCTCTCCCGGAGCCGCTCCCAGCCCTGCGTCCTCAACGACAAAAAGGTGGGAGTCAAGCGGCGGAGACCGGAGGAGGTCCAGGAGCAACGGCCCTCGCTGGACCTGGCCAAGATGACCCAGGTAAGAGGCGGCGGGGCCGTCCCTGCCAGGGGGCTCAGCAGCGAGGGGATGTAAAGAGCTGTTCTCTGCTTTGCTAAAGAGCTTTTAGCATCCTCTGAGGTGGGCCTGTGGCACGCAGAGTAACACAGGAGTTACAGGGAAGCACATCCTTCTGTCCAAGCAGAATACCCCTTCCCTTCCAAAGGGACTTCTTTCCTGCGTTTCTGTTCTACTCCGATTTTTGCACGCCGAGTCCACCATGTCGTTGTTTCCTCCCAGCACAGGTTTCAAGCAGGAATATGTTAAACCCCACAGTTTTGAGTTCAGGTGAGAGGAGTCCTGGGCCTGCCATGGCGAGATGAAGGCAGCACCCCTAGGCACCCAGCCCTGGCTCTGTCAGGAGCTGAATTCTTACTGCTACGGGCTTTACTCGCTCCTAGCCTCTGTAATTTTCCACTCTGCAGATGTTATCACGTTTCATTTTCAGTTGCAAACACAGTGCACAACCTCCCTCTTCAATCTGCCATGCAGAGCCAGATAACAGATCTGAAGCACAAATCAGGGAGCGTTTTGCTCCTGGGTCTTCTCCCTGCAGGACCAAATGACTGGGCTCTACTGAGAGACAGAGCAAGAGGCTGCATCGAAGGACAGCACGAGCAACGTTTCCATTTCACACTCATAAGGTTTCTTTTCCTGCAGTTTTTATGACTTGACATTTCCCACATTGGTAATTTATAGTTGTGAAGTCAGTGATACCACACCAGCTCTGTGTGGGATGGAGATAACAGGGGTGTGAAAACCCCAGGGCTCCCACTGTGGGAGCAGGGGGCACCCTGGCCAGCTCCCAGGGTGAGCTGTCACCTTCTGCTGGCCAGAAAACTTCCCTCACGGTTTCAGTTTGATGTGGTTGCCTTCTGTGCTTTATGCCAGAGTCAGCTGTGATGGGATCATCTGCCCTGATGCTTTTTTTGTAGGGCCAGCAAAGCCTGCCTGGTGCAAGGCATCCCCTTGTTGTTTGCAGGAAAACTGCTGGGAGCAATTCAGCAGGTGGGATGGAGAAACAGCTGGGAAATACCCGGTGGGCGACATCCATTGCTGTGTGTGCATTTTCTCCTTACAAGAACATGATGGTTTATGGTCTTTCAAGAACATGGTATTTTATGGTCTTTCGTGCCTGGCAGAGCAGAGGGTGTTTGAAGGAGTGCAGTGGTATTGGAGGAAGAGATCAGCTTTTCCTACTCCAGAGCAGCTTAGAGGATAAAAAGGGCAAGGGAGTCCTGTATTTGGGTCGTAGCAGGGGGATAACACAAGGATTGCTCTTGTCTTTTGATAAATCACAGCAACAACATTTAACATGCTAATCTTATTTTATTAGATAATAAGCTAGATGGGCAGTAAAAACCACTTACAAGTGTTACTGTATTTTACTAGCCACCGGGTGGAATAGCACAACTGTCCCCTCCTAATTCTCTCTTACAAGCAGGCAGATGTCATTTCATTTCCCTGGAAGTGCTCAAGGCCAGGTTGGATGCTGCTTGGAGCAACCTGGTCTAGTGGAAGCTGTCCCTGCCCATGGCAGCAGGGTGGAATGAGATGATCTTTCATGTCCCTTCCAACCCAAACCATTCTGTGATTCTCTGGTATGAACAGGGAAGAAGGAAAGTGTCCAGACTCTGGCTGGGCACTGACCTTCCCTGCCCTCTGAGGTCACTGTGGGGCAAAGCCAGCTTCTCCAGCCCATCAGTCCAGAGGGAAAGTTTGTTGGCTAGGAAACAAAGGCCTTGGTCAGGGAGATCCTGCCGATCAGGAGCAGCTTCCCTTTCCCTGCAGTGGATTCTGGGCCCAGACACACATTTATAATTTGGACAGCCTCTGACATGGGTAGGTGATCCAAGGATGACAAAAATCTAATGACTTGTGCGTCCAAAAGCAGCTCAGTCCATGTTCCTGGAAAACCTTCAGCTTGAGGAATAGCTGTGTTTTCTCTGGCTACTGTCCTCCACGCTTTGGATATATCAAAACATCCAAAGTGAGAAAGCAATGCCTGAGCACTCGGCGTTGCTCAGAGTTGGGGTGGTTCATCCTCTGCAAGAAGCAATGCCACGAGGAAAGGGTCTGGAAGCTCCACACTGCAAGGGATGAGTGTTGTAGGAACAGGGAAGGGATTGCCTGGAGCAGCATCTCCCCCAGTGTCAGTGGGCACCCCCTCTCCCACCCTCTCCTTTCCCGCTGATCCAGGCTGGGTGGCCGGTGCCGAATGCCCGGCGGTTGCTACAACCAACAACCAACAACAGTGTCACTAAGGAACTCCACCACTGGGATCCAGTCCAAGCAGGTCCCACAGAGTATTCTCAGTTCCCAGGGAGGAAACCCAGCCAGGCTCGGTTGCCCTGGCGGCGCATGAATCCCCAAGGCACGGATGAGCTGCTGGGTTTGGGGTTTGGGGCAGCAGGGCTGGGGCAGAGAGGGAAGAAAGCAAAGCCGGGAGCTGTGCAAGGGCCAGGGTTTTCAGACCTGTTGGGCTGTGGAAAGCAGCCCTGGCAGGCTGCTCCTGGCGTGGGAGGACTGGCACAGAGGGACGAGCACGATGAGGCAAGTCATGGTGAGCATTCTTGCCTTTGGTGGGGCACGGTCAGAGCCCTCCCCAGCACAGGAATGCCGGGAAAACCAACTAAATCCTCGTGGGTTGCAGGAGACAGGGATAAGTGTGCTTAAGAAAACCCTACAGGTTTGGAGATCCTCCCAGGCTGCTTTTAATGTGTCCACTCCAGGAGACTGGAAAGTTGGGTGATTTCAGAGGAAGAGCTGAAATAATGGCAGGTTGTCTGCGTGGCTGCACATGTCCTCAAGTCTGGCTTTATACGGTGCAGAAATGCCTTGTGTGCAATGGTCTTCAGGATCCAAAGCAAAGGAGAGCCAAAATGTCCAGATCATTCTCTTTACAGATAGGGAAACTGAGGCACAGGGCATGCCATGAGTTCCCTGGGTGCTAAAGGCAGAGGTGGGGACCGAGCCTCGGGGTGCCCAGTGCTGGATCAGCATCTGGGTCTGGCAGGGGATTGGTTAATTTTCTGCTTGTGCTGGTAACCACATGTGTTTATGGGCCTGAAACCCCGTACCATAATCAAAATAAAAATAATTTGACCTGAAAGAAATGTTTTCTTCATACCAGGAGGGATATTTAGGCCAGGCAGGAGGGAAGGGAGCCGCTCCTGGAAGCAATTACATGGCCACATAACTGGGCTAATTAAGAAAGAGACCTAAATGTTAAAGTTAAGCTGGGAGGGAAAATAGTTGGGAAAACATTGCCTTTAATTCCTCAGAATCCTGGTTGTGTCTTTTCTGTCTGCAATTCCCATAGCTCAGAGAGGGGAGGTGAGCCCACATCCATCCCCTTATTACTTACTCATGTGGCACCAAACCAGGCAGGCTTCAACTTTGGGCAGAAACCAAACCATGAACACGGTTGTCGTTGAAATAGCAGCAATTTCTAAAAGCCACAGCACCACACCAATCCTTCTGCTCTTTTTAAATGCATGCCAACACTCTGCTTTGTGCCTCTTCACTTTCGAACTGGGTATGAACCTGGCAGGTCGCACTCAGGTGAGTGGGTGATGGTGATGTGTCATTTAATTATCCCATGTCTGGAGGCAGGTGAGGCGTGAAGAAGCTGGTTTTCTCTTCTTCACCCCAGTCAAGGAGAGTTTGGGCACCTGGCCTGGCATCTATGACCTCCTTAACACTAGGACACCAGCCATCCTCCTATTTCAGTGTAGGGCTTGGCCTTCCTTTCCAACCTCAGCTTTTATTCCCTCTTTCCACATAAAGCACGAGCCCAAAGAGGACAACATCCCACCTCCGAGATCCCGGTAGCTGCCCTGACAGTGTGTTAATTAATCTCCTTACAGCTAGCTCTCCTTCCTAGGCTCAGTGCTCTCCACCTTGCAGCTCCAGGGACTGCATCTGTACCGGCAGGCTGGGATCAGAAATGGCTGGGATCAGGTTTTTTCCATGAATTGGGAGGTTTCCCAAAGAGCTGGTTTTCTTTTCCTGATGGAGGTGCACCTGAAATGTACAAGAGATGAGAAAATGTCTCAAAGGTGATGGGAGGTGGCTTAGACCCCACGTGTTCTTCTGGCTGAGCTGATTTTGGCAGGAATGGGTGGTTTCAGCCTTTGCAAAGCACAGAGAGAAGCATCTGGGTGTGCTGGGTAAGAAAAATGGATTTTCTAATATAAAAGCAAGCTCTGCCTGGGATGCTGTGCAGCAGAGAGACCCCCCTGTGCTTTTCCTCTCCCATGATCTGGCGCAGTTCGTCTCCAAAGGGACTTGATATCTCTCACCTCCACATCTGCCGCTTGGTGACATCTCCCTGTCAACACTTCCTGGGGTCTGGGGTGCTGTGTGCTGAAACTGCCTCGTGGCAGTGCGAACACTGGGTTTGGTGGCTTGTCTGAGTCATCTCCGGGAAGCCGAGCCACGGGCCAGCCCTGATGTTGGCGTGTGCTGGCTGAGCAGATTGTGTTCCTTCGCACGGGCTCCCGGGAGCTGCACGGGAGACACAACATGTCTGGCGATCCAGCGGCCGCCCGGAATGGGAGTTTGGAATCATCCCCGGCCGCGTCTCTTCCCTGTTCTGCTTCCTGCCTCCTAAAATCTTGGTGTGATTGCCGCTGGGAGGTTTTGATTTGTGTTAACGCAGTTCTAAGCGCGGCTCTGCTTTTTACAGGTGTGGGTTTCAGATGGATCGTTTGTGGTTTTATATATATATACGAATGTATATATTTAGGGTTCAAGGCCAGGTTGGACGGGGCTTGGAGCAACCTGGTCCAGTGGAAGGTGTCCCTGCCCATGGCAGTAATTGCCCTGTTTCCTCCCAGCTGTAAGTGCCCTGCTTGGGATCTGTACCCTGGCAGTAAATGAAGATTTGGGGATGGCCCTCGTGCCCCATTTCTGATGGCACTACAATGGTTTGGCTTCTCTGTGAGCCCTCAAAGCAGTTGCAATTTGAAGAGTTACAT